CTGGTCACTTTTTTTCAAGTTTAGAATCATTGTTTGTTTCAGATATTCAAAGATCTTAGAATTCATCCTCAGTAGCCAATACTGAACCACATGTTTCCTTTTTAAAGTTATAGGTTGTTAAAAATTGATCATGATTGAGTAGTAAATAGTGTGATAGATTCTTTAGGTCATCTTATAGTGAAAGGTAATTTAGGACTTCTGTATCCAAAGTCCAACAAATTTCTCTGTAAATCGAAATAAACAGTATCTCTGTTACCTTTTTTATTGCTTGAGTCTGAACTCTGGTTAGCTTGCTTAGCTTGTGCCTAGAATTCATGTTACTACTGGAACCTACTAACTGAAGTGGTGAAATACAGTGGAGTTAATGATACTTTCATGCCCATCCCTTTTATTTTTGGCTGTCCTGTTGAAATTCTAATGATTTGAGTAAATCAGAAAATTATTCTGTATTTCAAATACAGTTGTTAAATTGTTTGGTATTCTTGCTTATTGCTTAGATAACCAGTTTGGGGTCCCAGTATAGTGTATATTGATTTTGCTTGTTCTACAGTTATTCATTCTAAAATGTTCAGTAGGCTTTATTGGGATTGCTCCTGCTGCTAAACACTCTTTTTACTGCTAAACAAACTGTTTCATTACCTTCTTCATTCGATTTCTTTTTTTAAATGTAGAAATAATGGTATTTTGTGTTGTGTGTGTGTGTTTGTGTGTGTGTATATTAATATAAGATTATTTGTTCACAATCCAAATAGGACAGAGAAGCAAGTGCCTTTCTGTAATTCCAGTGTGAAAGATAAACATTAATATTAATAATATGGTATATATTTTCTTTTTGACCATTTGAGTACAGTTATAGATATTTTTTACATAAATATTATCATAGTATTCTGTAACCTGCTTATTAATTCACTGTGGAGAAATATTAATGTCAATGCATAGGAAGATCTACCTTATTTTGTATTCTGTATTTTATTTAAGCCCTTTTATTTAACTAATCCTGTAAAATTTAGTATAGTATAATTGGTTAAAGATTTTAGAAAATATTTTGAAAGATAAATTAATGAGTTTTTAACTGTTCTCCTTATATATTTGGTACTTTCATGAGAATATTTTCCTTACTAGTCAAAAATATAAAGATATTATAAAGAGTTATTTAGGAATCTTAAGAGTATTCAGAGATCTATGATAAATACATTGGTATATTTACTCACTAGACTTGACAACATGTGTTGTTGCAGTGTTTTCATTTTGATAAGATTTTGTTTAGAAAGTGATTTAAGAAGGGGTGCCTGGGTGGCTTAGTCTGTTGAGTGTCCGACTTCGGCGCAGGTCATGATCTCGCGGTTCACGAGTTTGAGCCCTGCATCGGGCTCTGTGCTGACAGCTCAGATCTTGGAGCCTGCTTCAGATTCTGTGTTTCCCTGTCTCTCTTCCCCTCCACTGCTCGTGTTCTCTCTTTAAATAAAACATTAAAAAAAATTAAAAAATAAAATGATTTGAGACATATGGGTGGAGAAAATCTTATAATTGTCATATGGTTTGTGCTCTTTTAATTTACCTTTTGCAGATACTGTACTCCAAGATACTTGGATTATGAAGATTTGGAGCGCAAGTATTGGAAGAACTTAACTTTCGTAGCACCCATCTATGGTGCCGACATTAATGGAAGCATATATGATGAGGTATATTTATAGTGTAATGGATTTTGTAAAGGACACCTTTCCTATTTTTGTTACCATTTTAGATACATGAGAAGTAGTCATTTGTTATGCTTTGTGTGATCCATAATTCCTCATAGGACAAGAAGAAATAAAGACACATCAGGATTTCTGCTGCTGGTATTTGTCAGATTGAAACCACCTACTGGTACAAATATCTGAAATTGTTCAACAGTAATATATTATGTGGTTATCTGGCTGATCTTTAAATTACACTAAAATTTTTTTAAGCAAAACACCTTTTAAAAATATTTGGAAAACAGGAAATATAATCCATTTATAATGCCACCTTAAGGCTAAAACAGTATTTTAATATGTATTCTTCTAGTAGTTTTCCCCTAGTCATTTAAAAAAGTTATATTTGAGGGGCGCCTGGGTGGCGCAGTCGGTTAAGCGTCCGACTTCAGCCAGGTCACGATCTCACGGTCCGTGAGTTCGAGCCCCGCATCAGGCTCTGGGCTGATGGCTCGGAGCCTGGAGCCTGTTTCCGATTCTGTGTCTCCCTCTCTCTCTGCCCCTCCCCCTTCATGCTCTGTCTCTCTCTGTCCCAAAAATAACAAATAAACGTTGAAAAAAAAAAGTTATATTTGAATAGGTTTGTTCTCCTTTTTTCCCCACAAATTGTGAGAATTTTTCTCTTTTTTAAAAAGTACATATTATTATAGTCTTTCCAGTATTATTTATGTGGCCATAACATGCTTGAAATAAACCAGTCCTTTTTGCCTCCTGGTAATACATGTAAATGCTGTTTTTTTGTTTTGTTTTGTTTTTTGTTTTCTTTTTATTTTGAGAAATGTCTTAACTACTGAAAGGTTGGAGTAGTGCGATGAACACTTGGATAGTCTTCATTTAGATTCACCAGTTGTTAATATTTGCCTCATTTCCTTTGTTTCTCTGTTGCTCTGCTGTTGTCTCCCTTTGTCTCTTTCTTTGTCTCTCTGCTATAACATTTGAATGTAAGTTGCAGACATTTTGATAGTTCAACTTTAATTATTTCAGCATGTGTTTTAATATCATCTAATATACAGATCACATTCATGAGATCCTAATTTTGCCAATAATATTTGTAAACTGGGTTTCCTCCAATCTAAATGATCCAGTCAAGAATTTCTGTTTATAATTAATCAGTGATTTATAGAGTGATACTTAGAGGCTAGATAACTGTCCTGTATCCCAGCAGCCTTTCACCCAGTGAATTTACATCCATTGATAATATTTGCCCGAATCAGTTACTATAATATTTTTAAACTTTTTGTATTTTGAAACATAAAATAAGGTAGAAAGTACACAAAACAGAAACTTAAAGCTTCATAAATTATTGCAAGGTGAACATCTGTGTATCATCACTGACATCAAGGAATACATTTACTAGCATACTAGAGTTCCCCTACACATCCCCTTCACTCATCGTATGTTTTATCCAAAGATGATCACTATTCTGACTTTATGGCAGTCACTTCTTTCTTTTCCTTAAGAATATAGTTCATTATATTCTGTTTCTGAATTTTATATAACCAGAATCATTCAGTGTATATTCTTTTTGTCTGGCTTCTTTCATACCTTATAAACATTTCTAAATTTTTTCTACATTCATTTTCTTTGCTCTATAATATTTTATTGTATGAATATGCCTTAGTGTGTTTATTGTTGTGCCACCAAGGGTCATGTTGGTTGTTTTAGTTTTTGCTTTTATGAACAAAACTTTCATGGATGTTCTGCACATGTTTCCCTGAGCATGGAATGGTGTGTTTATATTGGGTGTATGCCTAGTAGTGGTTATAGGGTATGTATATAGTTAGCTTCAGAAGAAAACTCTTTTCCAGTTTGCACCTTCTTATAGCAGTGTTTTCAGATTCCCCATTGTTCACATCCTATCTAATATTAGGTATTGTTGGTCTTTTAAATTTAGCCATTTTGTTGGGTGTGTGTTGTAGTTGTGGTTTTAAGTTGCATTGTGATTTTTTCCCCTTATGTTCATTGACTGTTTGGATTTTCCCTTTTATTGAGGTACCTTTTTAAGACTCTTGAATATTTTTATTTTGTGTCATGCTTTTCTTACTGCTTTATAGTTCTTTATACATTCTAGATATGAAATAGTGGCACAATTTAAAATTTTCTAGATGGATCTCTAAATTGAAAGGAACATTCTCATTTCCGAATATGGACTAGACATTAGATGATACTGTGGAATTATTGTTGTCCTATTAAATATAATGATGGCATAGTGACTATATTTTTTTATTAATTACAGATACACATTTAAGCATATGCAGGTTAAATGACATGGGGTCTGGGATTTGGTTTTAAAATACTTTAGAAAATAAAATGGTTTGGATATAGTTGAAAGAAGATTGAAAAAATATTGGTAATTGATGGCACTAGGTGATAATACATGGCATTTTAAATATGTGTATGTTTGAAATACTAAAATAAAGTTAAAAAAAAGAGAAAACATTCCCCATTGCCCTTCTGGGTTTTCATTAATACAAGTAAATTCTGTGTTGAGAATTTGTTTATTAAGGTAGCATATCCTTATGTGGAAAAATGAAAAAATATAGGCAAATATGAAGACAAAAATAAAAATTACCTATAAGCTTACCAAACGGAAACAACCTCTTTATGATTTCCTTTGGCTTTTCATTTTATGTGAGTGTGTATATATGTATGCACGTGATTGCACCTTAGTGTGCGTTTCCCCAAACCACCAAGGAAGTTTTAACAGTTTTTGACTTTAGAAACATTTTCTAATATTGCATTTTAGAAGATCATTCAGTGAATTCTAGTTCCTGCCATGTTTAGATTGCCACATTGTAATTTGTATTAGATTATTGCTATATATATTTTTTATTTCATTTCTAGTTTATTCTTAATGATTTATTCTTCAGTGATAACAGATATATTTTTAAGCTTAACATGTTATGATTACTTATATCTGGGAAAATGAGCACCATTAACAGTCAGGCTTCCTTACAGAACATGGCACCTTGTCTTTTGTTTTTTAAATTTTTTTAATGTTTTTATTTGTTTTCGAAGGAGAGAGAGACAGAGCATAAGCAGGGGAGAAGCAGAGAGAGAGGGAGACGTAGAATCTGAAGCAGGCTCCAGGCTCTACACTGTCAGCACAGAGCCCGATGTGGGGCTTGAACTCACGAACTGTGAGATCATGACCTGAGCCGAAGTCAGACGCTCAACTGACTGAGTAACCCAGGCGCCCCCATGGCACCTTGTCTTATGAAAGTAGCTTCTGTGGGATTTCCATTGGAATGAGTAAGGCAGAGTAAATACTGTTGACATTTTATATTTGAGACCTAGGGAGATATTTCCAAAGTTCCTAGGCTAGTAGAGGGGCTGCCAGGTGCTCTTATTACCTCTCCTACCAGTTTTAAGGAAACAATTATGTAGAGTTAATCTCTTAGTTGTAGAAATGTGTAAAACTAGGTTGTTGTCAACCACAAATTCCCCGAGCTGATGGTTTATTTTGTGCCTTCTCTGGTTTCTTCCCTGTGGTATGATGGCAAGTTTTCAGGCTTCCGAGAGGAAGATTGAGCTGAGGAATCATCTGGATTCTGGACTGAGAGGTTGCATGTCTGAGTGACCTAAAATGAAATGAAATTTTGTGTAAATTATTATTATTAAAAATTTTTAAAAATGTCTTTATTTTTGAGACAGAGAGACACAGAGCATGAGCAGGGGAGAGGCAGAGAGAGAGGGAGACACAGAATCTGAAGCAGGCTCCAGGCTCTGAGCTGTCAGCACAGAGCCCGATGTGGGGCTCACACTTGTCAACTGAGAGATCATGACCTGAGCCAAAGTCAGATGCTCAACCGACTGAGCCACCCAGGTGCTCTGTAAATTATTTTTTTCTAACCACCCTGTGGGATCATTGGCCTCTTTGTTCCTTTTTGCATATATAATTAAGAGTTAGAAGCAGTATATCTGGGGCAGTTTTCAGAACAATTAACATAAAAATGCCCTGGATTAGCTTTCCATATTTGATAGTGAAATAACATAATTGTTTATGGCACAGAGAGGCTGATGGACTTTGGTTTCCTGTGCTTGGCAATGTGCTGCTTGTATTTGAAAACCAGCTACACATTGGCATTGCTTCAACGAACATTGACTTTAGACTTCAGATTTGAGTAACTTTAGTTATTAAAATCCAATGAACAAAATCCACTGGTTTATAAACATGACATTTTAAAGCATCCTTATCATTTCCATGTTCTGAAGTCAGGAATCTGTCATTCTGGTAGGACCTACAAGGCATAGTATTTTATGGAATTTGTGTAGGCTCTGAGGGAACATTTAGTAGCTCCAAAGTTGAGTTGATATTTTCAAAGCTTTTGGAGCATACAGAAAGATGAGAGAGATGTTATAGACTGCTACTGGTAAACAAAACCAATCATGTTTATTACACCATAATTCAGACAAATGAAAAACAACTTGTTTTTGCCCCCTTGAGGTAGATGGAGAGTAACAAGAGAAAGAGTGCATTAAAGAGAGTGACAAAGAGTGAGTGTACCAATAACCCACAACTGTCAGCAGTGTTTGAAATCATCACAATGAACGTGCATTGGAAAAGCATTGTTTTGCTTTTTTCTATTGTATCCTTGAATTGTTTAACTGTTTGGCTCAATATTTAAATTATATTGAAAACTGGTTTGATATGGTTCATGGCATTATTTTGGAAGGAATTATGGTCATCAAATTGTAGTTCACTTTTCCCCCTAATGTCTAGTTGTGGCCATTTTAGTAGAATGATTGAAAAACCATAGCTTTTTTTTTGGTGAGTCTGGGAGTTCTTGGAGAGGGTGTGGGGAGGTGAGAGAAACAGTTTGTGTAGGGTACAGAGATGAATAAGGAGCCTTGTTTTCAAGTAATTATTCATAGGCTTAGAGGGGCAATAAAGTATAATGAGCTTGGCCATAAAAGCAAGTGTAGGGTTCCAGGGAGCCAGGAGGAGACACACTGAGAGCAAGCTTGGCACTGAAGGAACACTTGCTAGAGCAGAGAGGACATCTGAGCTTGGCCTAGATGAGTAAGTTCAAGTCAGGTAAAGGAAGCAGAAAGGAGGATGGGGCAGGAATTAGGCAAATTTGTGGGTAAGACCACACTGAATTTGGAGGCTTTTCTATGAGCTTCAGCTAGAAGAGGGTGAGGCCAATCTGGAATAGTGTGATCTGCGGGGAAGGGATCTGCTCTAGGCTGGAGACAGGGCTGTAGGTATGGTCCCCGACCTGTGGTGCTATAGTGACCCCATCTGCTCAAATGTTTGTCTTGCAGCACAAGGCAAATCTTTCGGGCAAAGAGGTGCCATTTTAGTGATTATCAGTCTTGAATACAACACAGGAATTAGAGATGAGGGTGTTCATGAAGCTCTAGTTGAGAACAATCAGCCTTGATAGTAAAGGGAGAAAGGCTTGGAGATCCCAGGGCATGAGTGTTGGTTCCTCTTTCAATTTTTTTTTAAAGTTTATTTTATTTTGAGTGCATGCCTGCTGGAGAGAGGCAGAGAGAGAGAGAGAGAGAGAGAGAGAGACAAGGAGAGGAGAGAGAGAGGAGAGAGAGAATCTGAAGCAGGCTCTGTGCTGTCAGTGTGTAGCCTGACATGGGGCTCAATCCCAAACACCATGACATCATGTCCTGAGCTGAAACCTAGAGTCGGATGCTTAATGACTGAGCCACCCAGGTGCTCTGGTTCCTTTTTCATTCTGCCACTTCTTTCAGAGCTTAATTTCCTTTGATACTAAAGAATCTCAGTTGGTACCATGGGCAGTAGACTAGGGCAATAGTAACAGTCACATGATTTAAACAAGTTACTGTTTTTTAAATAGAAATACCAAGGCTGTTAAAGGCATATGGTGACACAGTCCAGAGCATGGCTTGACAGTCAGATTCTCTCTTTGGCTTGTCTTTATAAATAAAGTTTTACTGGAGCATAGCCTAATTCATTCATTTATGTATTATGGCTTTTTTCACCATAAGGACAGAGTTAAGTAGTTGTGGCAGAGATTGTATGGCCCACAAAAGCTAAAATGTTTATTGTTTGGCCCTTTGCATAAAAAATTTGGCAACCCCTAATACAGAGGCATAATTATTTACTCTTGCTCAAAACCTTTTTGAGATAGATGGGATATAATTCTACATGTTCTCAGGAGAATGTGATTCATTTACATTGACTCCACTGATACCTTGAGACAATTAAATTGAGATATTTGGTTATGTCAGGAATTTTCTGTAATGAAAGAGGTTTTTGAGCTTAGAGGTAGAGCAACCTGTGTTCTTGGGTGGCCCTAGATGACTCCTTGGTAACAGTAACAGAAGCTTAAGAGTCCTAAGATGTGAATTTTTGTTGTTGTTATGCTTCACTAAGGACTTACTTTCTTTAAAAGTAAGTCTTATTTATTTTTATCTTATTTTTAAAAAATTTATTTATTGTTTAATTTGTATCCAAGTTAGTTAGCATAACGTGCAACAATGATTTCAGAGTAGATTCCTTAATGCCCCTTACCCATTTAGACCACCCCCTCTCCCACAATCCCTCCAGCAACCCTCAGTTTGTTCTCTATATTTAAGAGTCTTTAATGTTTTGTTCCTCTCCGTGTTTTTATATTATTTTTGCTTCCCTTCCCTTATGTTCATCTGTTTTGTATCTTAAAGTCCTCATATGAGTGAGGTCATATGATATTTGTCTTTCTCCGACTAATTTCGCTTAGCATAATACCCTCCAGTTCTATCCATGTAGTTGCAAATGGCAAGATTTCATTCTTTTTGATTGCTGAGTAATACTCCACTATATATATATATATATATATATATATATATATATATATATATATATAAACACCACATTTTCTTTCTTTATTCATCGATGGACATTTAGGCTCTTTCCATACTTTGGATATTGTCAATAGTGCTGCTATAAACATTGGGGTGCATGTGTAAAAAACAGCACACCTGTGTCCCTTTGATAAATACTTATTAGTAGGGCAATTGCTGGGTCATAGGGTAGTTCTATTTTTAATTTTTTTGAGGAACCTCCATACTGTTTTCCAGAGTGGCTGCACCAGTTTGCATTCCCAGCAGCAGGGCAAAAGAGATCCTCTTTCTCCGCATTCTTACCAACATCTGTTGTCTGAGTTGTTAATGTTAGCCATTCTGACTGGTGTGAGGTGGTATCTCATTGTGGTTTTGATTTGTATTTCCCTGATGATGAGGGATGTTGAGCATTTTTTCATGTGTCTGTTTGCCATCTGGATGTCTTCTTTGGAAAAGTGTCTATTCATGTCTTTTGCCCATTTCTTCACTGGGTTATTTGTTTTTTGGGTGTTGAGTTTGATAAATTCTTTATAGATTTTGGACACTAACCCTTTATCTGATATGTCATTTGCGAATATCTTCTCCCATTCCTTCAGTTGCCTTTTAGTTTTGCTGATTGTTTTCTTCGCTGTGCAAAAGATTTTTATTTTGATGAGGTCCTATTAGTTCATTTTTGCTTTTGTTTCCCTTGCCTCCAGAGACGTGTTGAGTAAGAAGTTGCTGCAGCCAAGATCAAAGTGGTTTTTGCCTGCTTTCTCCTCGAGGATTTTGATGGCTTCCTGTCTTACATTTAGGTCTTTTATCCATTTTGAGTTCATTTTTTGTGTATGGCATAAGAAAGTGGTCCAGGTTCATTTTTCTGCATGTTACTGTCCAGTTTTCCAGCACCATTATCTGAAGAAACTGTCTTTATTCCATTGGATATTCTTTCCTGCTTTGTCAAAGATTAGTTGACCATATGTTTGTGGGTCCATTTCTGGGCTCTGTGTTCTGTTCCATTGATCTGAGTGTGTGTTTTGTGTCAAGCAAAGGAAGTTGCTAATTGTACATTTAAAAAGTTAGCCTTCTGTTAAAAGAAGCATGAGAGTTTCTTTAGGAAACACACACACACACAAGAAATACAAAGAGAAAAGAGGAACAAGGAGAAAAAAGTCCTGTAACTATGTGGGGATGATTCAGCTTAGCTAAGAGACATGAAGTAAACAGGTATCTGTAGGAAAGACAAACTAGAACATTTCTGAGGTAGCCAGTAGCTGTGTGTACTTCTACAGACCTTTGGAGATGGAGTACGTCCCTTTGTTCTGTATGTGAGAGCTAAGCACAAGCGTTAACATTATTTATACTAGGACAGTGAGAGTGAAACATTCAGACTTGTGTTCTGTGCTGTTTAGGATGGCATTTCTAGTAATACTTGTATAGTATAATGGTGATCCTCTTAATGATGGTAATGGTTCATTAAATCAATGTTTAAAATGAAATTCAATATGCTTTGTTTAAGCTGGCTATGATCTTTATAACTGGTAACACTAGAAGGATCTCTAAGAGTGTTGTCTGTTTTCAAAAGAGTCCTCTTTGCAAGATTTCCCTTTGTTGATTGTGACTTATAGCTCTACCTTTAAGGCTCATCCATCTCCTCCACTGCCCACGCTTTCTTCTTTGAATATCTCATATCATCACAGGTAGTGCAGTCTGCAATGACCCCTTTGAACCGATGTTGTCAGAATATTGTACCAGCAAGGAGCTTAGCTTATCCACATCATCGCAGTTCTCACTTAAG